AACATTCCCGACACAAGGGTGAATGGAGTTGAGAACGCCAGCATGAATGTGGAGGGTTCTCATGAAAGCCACTCAAGAGGGCACACCACACTACATTTAAATAAGCAAGATAAAATTGTGATAGTGAAGCGGTGATTCGAGGATATAGGATAGGGGAATAGCCCAGGAAAGAAGAAGAGATATTACAACTGTTTAATACACATTTGGTCAAAGGATCGGCTACACTTGTCTCTTACGAGTTTTAGTGTGGTGCTAAGAGTGTCAATCCTCACTGATGATGCCAGCTAAACGTCTGGGAATGTACCATGTCCATGCTCCGACTTTGTAAATTAGCATGCATACAATGGACTCCGGAATACGTGCGTTCTTCTTAGTCTTCCTACCAATATGACCAAGTTGCAAAAACAAGGTCAAACAACTTCTATAAAACAAAAAGAGACTGCGAACACACAAAAGGCCACACCATCTTGTTCTTAATATCTTCCTTCATTACTTTAAACATATCGTTTAACTTATCCATGCTATTTTTCAGCTGTTGGGACAATTTCTGTTTACTCAATATCAGGATTAAAGAGGGGGTCTATGTCATACCCATCAATGATATTTTCTAACGGCTTAGATAAACCTATCTGAGTGTAATTGAACCTCAGAATCAGATGTTTCTAATAACGTGAGAGAGTAAGGGGACTGTTTTACTTGACCCTAAATTGGATAATCAAAGCGGTAGATCTCCATACTGGCGTTTTCAAAAGATGCCAGACGCATGGGTCCTACAGAATGTGAGAGAATGGAGTCCAGATTGTAAAAGTATAGCTGGGTTTATGTAGTCTAGAGTACTTAAAAAGGGCAGCAGCCGTGACTCACGTCTATCGCACATCTATATTTTCAGGGCCAGTCATGTGATTAGATCCTGGAGCGTGACGGAAACAGTGGACGGGATCGAAGGCTTATATTATGCATGTCAAAATAAGAATTTCATGTGTACGAGGGTACAGCTAACAGAAGCTACACGAAGTCATTGGCTGAATGGAAATTCCAATTTGGATCACGAATTAATGAGTCGGGTTCCGAAAATGGTGGTGAGGGTGACTAAACTTCACTAAAATCACTTGGGCGGACACTTTTAGGAGAGAATGAAATGAGCGAAGGCACGGAAAGGTGTATATAGATAAATTTGCCATTGTGTGGGTAAGAGGCGCTTGAATTTATGGAAGGAGGATGGCACAATGGCTGAACAGAAAATCGGTCACTCGTCGTTTTAACAAGTTCTAGGTCGATACTAAGGCTGGCGCCTCTCACGATGCTTCCTAAAACGTCTGGGAATGTACCAGGTCAACTATTCTATACCAGAAATAATCATGGAAGAGGACGCAGGGCCTGGTACATTCTACAGGCTTCTTATCGCCCGACTAAGTTGCGAAAACAAAGTTAATTAAACTCACTTTTTAGTCTTATGAAGTATGAAAAATTCAAATCCCTTCTCTTCACACAATTTTAAGAGCCTCATTGAAGTTTAGTCTAATATTTATGCTTATGCATACTGGTTTAGCTCTATTTCAGCCATTTCTGTATGGATCTTGTACATTTTCTCAATCAGGACTGGTTCCCACATACTCTCATTTTCATTTGCCCCTCCTATTCAGGATATTATTGAGGAAGTCTGTGAAGACAAGCTAGATCCCAAGCTGTTTCCTTATTTCGGCGGCGGCCCTGTTCGTGCTGGTGGTCGGGGACCTGGCGGTCCCGAAAGCGGGGGACCCATCTCAGCGCGCTACGGACAGTGGCATCGTGACAAGACACAGCAACAGCGCACAGGGCCCCGCCTTATTTTCTTTATTTTGGGTGGAATCTCCTACTCAGAGATGCGCTGCGCTTACGAGGTGATGGAGCTGCCATCTGGCAAGAATTGGGATATTCTTGTTGGCGGTACACATCTTCTTGTACCTGAAGCCTTCCTATCCGACCTTGAGAAGCTCTCCTATATGCCTGGTGCTGCACCAACCCAAAACACTGGCCCCGGGGGGGGTGCTTCAGCTGGAGTATCTAGTGCAGGAGGTTCTGGTGTGCCTGTTGGGCCTGACGCTGTTTAGAATTCGGTCTTTCTTTCTATTAATCCCTCTATTGTTGTTATTTGCTTCGTGTCCTGCGTTTTTCAATCTTCTGCTCATTCATCGTTTTTTCGCAAAAATATTTTAGCTACTTTTTTATCACTGTTAAGTATAATTAGCCTACTATCTATCAATGGATAAGTCAACACAACTTCATTCCGTGGCCCAGAATTCCTTGATATCTTCATTTCTATTGTCTTTAATTTCTAAGGTCGAATTTTCTTATTTACTTAGTCTCACATAAAATATTTTTACATTTCTTTTCCGGTCATTTCAATATTGCATTAGCCGATTCTAGTCACTGCTTGCATTCCACTCCGTTTTCCAGCGTCAATATTTCTGGCATGAAGCAATCACTCGCAACTGCTATGCTTGCGTGCACGCCATACTGCCACCTAATTGACACCTACGATCCTTTCCACAGATTGGATGCCTCTGCCTTAAGCATTCTGATCTCATACGGTTTACCTATATTGATATGGATAGCATTTATGATGCCTTCTCGAAGTCCCTCTCGGATCCCTTCTTGCCATATTCATAACATTGTAGTACTCACCAATCCTTGCATTTATTTTTACTTCAGCCCAACTCATCTCAAGTCGCTTCCTTTTCGCATATAACTATTGGTTGAAATTTGTGATTGTTGGATTATATACTATTCCTCCTCCCAACTACATTGTTATCCACGCCAAATAGGTCCTATTTGTCTGTTACCTACAAAACGGACTACATTTATTATACGTATAGGTGTATACGTACTATTCTTTATTCCCTACTAGTAGGATTGCAGTATACTTAATTATTACCTTTCATATATATATATATATATATATATATATATATATTACTTTACTTTTACTTGTTATCAAGAAACTAAATTTGTAGATGCCTAGAAACTTTCTTTCTACGCCATAGAGAAGTTGAATCGGTCTCATTTCTTTACATTAATGATAATATACCAATCGGCTTTTCATCAGTTCTTAGTATCTACGAAATGCTGCTTTATTTCAATGTGTAAGACTTCATTTTCACACGCCAATACTAATGATTTATTCTGTACTCCATAATAAACAAATACGTTCCAAACAGCCAGATCCACCTCCGTTCATTCCTCTTCGTTTTTATTTTGTTTCCTTTATACTCTTCTTTTTATAATTTTCAAATACCTAACCCTTAATATGATATTGTGCTCTTAACTTTATGCTGTCCGTCATTTCGCATTACAACGACCATGTCCCCTGTTCACACGCATTGTGATATTTATAGCTGAGTATATGGCTCCTTGATCATATTGCATCCATATACGGCAGTGCCCGCACTTATGCTGCTCACGAGACAGGCAATTATTACGATTGCCACGTCGAATAAATTTTATTATCTACCCTTAGACTTATTCGGTCACTCCCCACAAGAGAATGCTGGAAACCTTGCTAATTAAACTGATATTATGTTCCTATGGCTGGTTTACATTGTCTAGACATCCCTTTTACTGATGCTAAGAGGTTTTTAATTTCCATAAATTATGTCATTCGTGTAATACCGAGCGCATTCTGCACTTAGAAGAGAGTATTTGAGCAATCTCTTAAAGTACGGAAATTTGTCTATGCCAAAAAAGCACTCACCACTTGTAGTAAAATAGGCTAGGCTTTTGAATAAATTACACCAAAGAAGGCCGCACTTTTCGATGCCCTTAAGAATCATTGGCCTGGACTCATGGAAATTGGCCAATTAATAAAAAATTGTTCTTTAACTTATTAAATGTCTATAAATGGTACCACGCGACCCCGTTATTTCGAAAATAAGTGTAATTGTGTGTGTGTGTTTAGACGTTAACGCACATACTCGAACAAAAGTAGCATAACCAGTATGAAAGATGATTAGCCAAACCATTCTATATCTACCTATGAGCATATATACGGATAGTCTTCTTGACCTAGTGTTAACGTGGGACTTTTACAAGAGTGAGTTTTAGCTATGGTGATGTCCATCATATGATGAACGAAAGCTCAGCCCGTTTTTACCCGAAACGAGGGAGGATATCTTATGGAATGCATCAACCTTAACTTTATATTAAAGCCAAACGACTGCAGTATAACGGGTATCATCCGTCATCTTCTGGTGGGATCGACCTTCGTACCTCTTTGTTCACCTCCATACGAAATGAAAGTCTTCCCAAGTAAGTTGTGTTTGATATAGAAATCGACTGCACTACTTATTAGTGTTAGAAGTTTCGAGACCAATAGCTGATGACTGCTAGTATAATTTTTCCACAGCGATTTGAGTAGGCCTTTTCCATTAAATTAAGCGTCGCTTTGCTCCCAAAAAGGTATTTTCCTCCAGAGTGGACTGCATGTCTATGGTAAACAGTCCTAATGTCAACCAACAAGCTCTAGTCTCCGCCGTATCTACCCTGTTTTTATCCCTAATACCAGGTCTATTACGTCCTATGCCCTAGTATCTTGTGTGCCAACCCACAAATGTTGTGGTTCTATTTGTCTTGAATAGGCTTTCTTAAGACGTATCCTCTTGGCTTCTGATTGTTCCTTTCTGGTCCCTTTGCGATTTCTTTTCCTAAAACTATAGATGCTATCTTAATCCAGTCTTTTTTGCTCATATTATTGTTGCCTGGTCTTCTCCGGGTTCGTTTAGGCAATATACAAAGTTTTTGCTTATCCTGCCTTCTTCATGTCTCCTGTTCATCAAACAAGGAACAATCACAAGCCAAGTGCAGACGTCTTAAGTGAGTCTAATAAAAACAAGTAGAACCACAACGTGGTCCATGTAGCACGTCTATTATGAGTTAACTAGCTCTAGCCTCCACTACGTCTTTTCTGTTTCTATCCCTAATACCGAGTCTATGACTTGTTATGCCCTAGCATCTTGTTTGTTAACCCACAAATGTTGTGGTTCAACATGGAACCTAATAAAGGCAAGCAGTACCACAATATTTGTGGGTTGACACACAAGAGCCTAGGGCTTAGGACGTAATAGACTTGGTATTAGGGATATAAACTGGATTGACGCTGCGGAGACTAGAGCTATTGGCTGACATTAGGCCTGTTTTAGGATAGACGTGGTCAATGAAGCAAAGGCTTCACCATGAGAATTACTCGCCATCTTTAGCCTCAAGTTAGTCTAGCAGACGCAAAGTGTGGGAAATAAGGCCTCGTGGAGCACAGATGGGGTGGCAATGGTCGAGTGAAATACTCGAACCAGGGAGATAGCAGACGGATTCTACGGGGTAAGAGGGAGACTGATAAGACCCAGGAAAGGACGACTGCTTAACAATAC